TAGAAGAGACCGCGGCTCTTCTTATAAGATACATCGTTTGCGGTTTCTGTACTTAGCTAAAATAAACACATGACAAAATAAAAGAAGTGAAGTAATTTGGAAAATGTACTTCGTACATTGACACCACAGTGTTCCTCTTTCGAAATGTCATGCTGCTAAAAATAGGATATCTCGAGCAGGCAATAAAACGTCGTTTCTATCTCGACAATTTCGTCGCGGTTATTTTTATTTGAGATCATTTTTAGGGTCTAAAAAGGGCGAGTAGCCCGCGGCATTGCGGCATCCAAAACCGGCCTGGACGCGATCACCGAAAGCAAACTTCATTGCTCCGTGCAGGCGTAGGTATGCGAGAGGCTTGATCACAGCCGCGGGGCTAAATTCCCGAATGCAACACGTAATTCACTAGGTCGAGGTCGTTACTTAATCGAAATCGATGCACCTTTCGATTCGTTATAACGCTTCTAAAATAAAGTGAGACACGATATAAATTGGAATGCGATTCAGAAATAATTTATTGCTCTGTGTGTGATATCCCCCAAAACAAATACGTAATACGAAAATATATCAGTTAGAGAAACTCTTTTTAAAAAAATAAACACTGCGACAAAGAATATCTAATATCAGAAGAATACTTAAAATTATTATTAGGATAAAAATTAGTGAATTCTGTTTATGTATTGAAAAAAATTTCTGATTGAAAATAGACGAAAGATTTGTGATCATATTATTAAAATTCTAGTCAAGATAACTAAATGTACAATTATGATAACCAGAATTTTTATTGATATGATCAGAATCTTTTGATTTATTCATTTTCATTTTATAATTTAATTTTTAATTTTTCTCAATGTAATTTTTTAAATAAAAATATTACTCTTACGACTTCGATAAGAAGTACATCTACTAGTTAGTCAATTAAATATTAAGTTTCCAACTGCGTAAGAAATTATTCGAACCTATAAAAAATCTTAATATGAAACTTGACGATGAGAGCATAGTTTCGTTTGCGAAGAAATTAAAAGCTCCGATAAGAGGTAAAGTAAGTGTTCTTTTACTATGTGCAACGTATCTTCCCACCTTACCAATACATTGCGAACACGAGAATGGATACGCCTATTATTGCTCGCGAGATTAGAACAATTTATAGTATCGCCTAAGAATACCGACCCACGCGGTAAATACCGTACTTCCGGTCGAGCATGTCGATTTCATTTGTGGTTACTCGCCATTTCAAATTTCAAAGTCAAATTATGATAAAGAGAACGTAGAAAAAAAAGATCAGACAATCCTTCACAATTAATTACTAAATTCCTGGGAAAAAAACTAAGCATTTCTATTGAAAATAATGTTCTGAGAAAAAATTATCAGCGACGAACGGACGACGTTAATGAATTCACAATATTCTTGGAATTCGTGTGCATAATCCACGGATGACTGTAGGTCTAAATGCGTTTCCCGATAAACTCTCCTGCTCACCAACGCTACCGCTTAGCCAAGTACATTAAACGCATTTATTCCTACCGATATACGTCGCGATCATGACCCGCGTACCGATTGTTTCTTTCTCTTGCCTCCTCGCTATTCGCCACAATACTGTTTTCAGGCTGTGGCAGGCCTCAATTTGCCGTAATTATTATGTTTATCTTCCTCATTCACTTAAGTCCGCACACCAACTTCGACGATCCGGTCCTTCGTGTTCGTTGTTCGGCGCGACAACACCGAAACGTCGGTGTGAACGGCAGGTATCGTGTCTTCTTTTATATATGATTTAACATAGATATTGACACTTTTTTTACTTATTTTTAATAGAATTAAAGTTCTCTGCCCACTGCTTATAACTGTAATCATGAGAGATTTATGGTTTCTACATAAAAAGTGGAGAACATAGAAGACGAAGCCTCCTTTTTAAAAGAATGCTATATGAAATGGACAACCGAGTTGTTCGTAATTATTCACTGCAGTAATAAGCAAGAGAATTCAAGATTCAATTAGGCTATGAGTGAAACGTTCATCTATGATGAACTCTCTCTCTCTCTCTCTCTCTCTCTCTCTCTCTCTCTCTCTCTATGTAGAGCGAGAGATAATTAGGCGATGTGTGACACGCATTCCTATGTGATTCTCTCTCTCTCTCTCTCTCTCTCTCTCTCTCTCTCTCTCTCTCTATGTACGTGCGTAATCCGCTGCATTCGCGTTCGCGAGCGTGATATACGTGGCTGGATTGCCACGCGCCAATCATTACATCCTGGAAGGGGTGGGTCTACCACCGATCTACTGTGTCAAATCCAATTTGCGTGATCCTTTCCCTCGGAAACGACACGAAATCCTCGTCACGCCCGGCAATTTGTGTAGAGCTCGGCTCGGGCGGCGTGCCGACTGCACTTTCGACGAGCGTGAGAAGCGAGTGTCGGAATGTTGCACCTACGAGGAAAATAACACGACTTAGCGCGCTTCTCGATCACCGGCTAGACACGGCGTGTACAGAACGCGCATTAACCGTTCTATAAAATCCACCTCGAGCGTTACAACTTTATCCGATCGGTCTGAAAATATTTCTTCCCCCGGCTTTGCGCGATCTCGCGATGCAACGCGATGCAACGCGATGCAGAACGATGCTCGTACAACGTCCGGTTCCTTACGTGTGCCACGTAGCCACGCGCCGATCATTACGCTCGCGAGAAGGCGGTAACTACCACCGATCCAGTTTGTCAAACGCAATTTGCGTGATCCTTCCCCGCCGCGGAAACGACACGGAATTGACTTGGTAACACGCCCGATAATTTACGGTTTTTGTACCAGATACCAGACCTTGTGGCGCGTGCGATAATGAAAGCAGGCAATATTATATACGGCTGATCTCCTTTTTCTAAAGGAGAATAGATTTTTAATGGGATTGGGCGATGTAATTTGAAATAGAGCTTTCAAGGACAGGAGAAATCGTCTTTCGCTATGTCTCATCGTTTGATACTCGATCTTTTGTAAAGGTGGATGTTTAGATTGAATCGAATTGTATGCAGTGCCTCGTACATTTTTCGAAGTGAAAAAAAAGTTAAGGACTTTTCTTGGTACGACTGGCCCTTGTCTTCTCGGTACCACGTTAGTGCATTCACCACATCGGTCCGGTTGAATAGTAGAGTTAGCACGAACGGATTGTTTCTGCGGCCGAGCGAAGGCCTTTAGGAAAGTGTAAAGAGCGTCTAAAGCGAGAAAGAGAGAACAAGAAGGGCAAGAGGAGAAAGAGAGAAGGAGTGACAAAGTAACTCTGGCGAGCCGGATGAGACGTAAGGAAGAGAGAAAGAACGAGGATGGAGCGAAAGATGAGCGTGGGGAGAAGAAAGGAGGAAAAGGTTAGCAAGGAGAGGAGATGGGGGATGGGAGATGGTAGAGGAGAGAAGGCGATTCAAGGAGTTAAGAAGAAGAAGAAGAAGAAGAAGAAGAAGAAGTTAAGATGGTCCAGCGCAGGCAGCATCACCACCGCAGCCGGAGGTGATGACCTGCTCAAGGCCACCCGCTCCCAACCTCTTGGACCGAAGAGGGGAATCACTTTTCTTATTTTTCGTTCGCTCCCTTTTCTCTCTTTCGGCTCCTTACAGTTCTCGATCTCTCTTGCTCTTTCTACTTCCTTCCTTCTGCCTTTCTCTCTCTCTCTCTCTCCCCCCCCTCTTTCTCTCTCTCTCTCTCTCTCTCTTTTTCACTCGTTTGGTTTCCGTGCATCTGCCCTTCTTGGGCTCGCTGAACTTTGCACGGATCTTTCTCTCTTTCTTTCTGTATCTATCTCGCCTTTCCCTTCCTATCATTCTTCTTATATTATTTCTGAATCTGTTTGATAACTCGAAAAATAATTGACTGTTGCGAAAAATATTATGACGTATAAAATAATTAAAAAATCGTACGCTCTTAACACTTTTCAACTTGAAATCAATTACACCTAAGTGGATATTAAATAAAAGGTCATTGTATATTACAGATTTCACTAATTTTCTATTTTTGAATATTTTTCACACAAATTATTCATTAAATAACTAGTAACCAATGGTTATACACTATTCTTTAAATTCATTGGGATATCCACAAAGACGATTTACGTAAAAATCACGATGCGTTCACGTGAACAGAAGAAAAATCAAGATAATACAAGAAGTCGTAAAATAACTAAAGTCGTGCGACTAAACCGCTTGCCGACGCGAGTGTTCACCAGCCAAGAATGCAGTCGACACAATGTAAAAAAAGTCAAGTCCTTTATTCCCTAACCGTTCAATTCGATCAGCCGCTTTTCGCAAATACGATCATCCGAACACGAAATATGCATGGGCGAATTAAATCTTACAGAAGAAAATTTCAGATAAAGTAAAGTTTTCTATGTTAACCATAATAAAATTTATTAATACGAAATTATTATTTTAGAAATGAAGAATATCGTGTCAGTAAAATTTTTCATCAGTGTGTTAAATAAAAAAACATTTCGGGACTTTATAGGGACTTCGCACTTTGATGCACATGCATGTATTCGGTGTATCTGGTATTTAATAAGCGCGAGTCAACTGGAGTCAACGGTGCAGCTGTGCCGACGGCAAACTATTACCTCGATTCATTATCAGTGACCTCTTTGTATACGTTTCTTTCATAGGACTCCTCCATGAGACCGTCACGCCGCGTTAACTTTTCTTAATTGAAATGTCATCCATAGAGTGATTTCGCTAACCGCATAATTGCTAACGCGTATATAAAAACATACATATTTTATATAAGTATCACACGCGTGATTTAAAGATATGAATTATTGTTCATTTCAATCTGATTCTTTTTCTTTACTTGTCGCCTTCGGGCAATCGTTACTTTCGCTATTTCGACAAAATGACAGTGATTTCTCGTACGATCGTAGTTACGGCTGGTGAACAGAGTTATACCTTTTCCCGCACAGACATGCTATGCTTAAAGGTTGATACGGTAATGGTTACACACCACGTACAATAAATAAAAGTACGTGCGCACATTTGTTGCAGCGCGAGATGACGAAGCAGACCGCGTGAGCAAGATTGCAGAATACACGGAGGAGGAAAGCAAGAACCCGAACAAAGGTAGAGAAATAGAAATTGTTGTTAAAGATCTACGAAATATCCATACTTCTCTTTCATAGATCTAAATATCTCAAAACAGGCTTAAATGATAAAAGCGTTCAATTTTTTGCACAATAGGCGAACAATGTAGAGCCGCAAAAACTTGTCTGAGATCAGCATATTACTTTCCCGAACGATCTTATCGCGAAAACATTAAGGTATGACTCGACGATTTCGACAATACTATTGCGTTCACGTGCAGTGGGCCGTAAATTGTATTCATCGTCGGGTAATGATAATTCCGGGTTACACCTTCGCAAAATGAAACGAAAATGTCAGGCGGACATAGGACGTACTCAGTCAGTGTACCGGATCGGCCGGATTGGTAACAATAGTATTAAGTCGCGTGAATACCTTACAGTTTACGCCAATCTCTCGTCCTTCGGCTTGGTGAAAGTCTGCAAGAATTCGCCCTCGATCGTGTTGCGAACTTCACATTGAGATCCTCCTGACATGTCACGATTTCGTTCGAAACTAGTAACGCTGAGTAACAAACATCTCACGTTGTCTTGTAAAATAGCAACGAGCAGTGCCGATCGTGCTATTACTCGCCCGAATATCGAAGTCACGATTCTTAATCGAAATAGAAAGAAATTCCTTAAAAACTATAATTTACAATCTAATCGAGTAATCACCAAAGTTATCCCAAAGTTATTAAGATATTTAAATGCTAACTGCTTTTACAAGAAAGTAAAAATTAAGAATACATAACGCGTGCATCAATGGAAGAGAAATCGAAATGCGATAGGAAATTGAGGCATCTTAATCATTTAATATCGAGAGTATACAGGGCATATACGAGTCAAATATAACGAAATATTTTAAAACATAAACTCAGACGAAAAGTATGTATAATATAATATTCTATAATTGATTAAAATTCATGTATATATATATATATATATATATATATATATATTACATGTTTCGGTCTCACAATTGAGCTCTCTTCAAATATGCATACATGATGTTACATTGGTTGAGGTCAATCAAAGATATAGACAAAATTATACACATAGTGATGATTTTAAATTAAGAGTCCTTCTTGTAAAATCCTATTTAATCATCTAATTTTTTTCCGATGTAAACTTAAAGCCATTTATTAGTACAGACTCGCTAAACTGTGAATATAATAATAACGAATGCCTTTCTCATCTTTTATCTTTGCACGCAGATATGTATCCTCGCAGTTTTGTCTCGGACACGGTAGTTCCGCGAGTATATGCAACGTACGGTCGCTATCAGTCTTTTTCCATTTTTCCGTAAAAAATTAATTGGATAGGATTCTCGCGGAGTGATTCGCTTCCTACTCGTTTTACAGCCCGCTCCCACGAAGGCACGAGCGAAGTCGGCGATGGTAAGCGTCATCGGCCTCTCGAAGCACGTACATCGGGCCGCCGCGTTTAATGCCAATGTTTCCGCATTCTGGAATCTTATTTCTGAACGAGGAATATTCGCTGTCTAGCCGGTGCAGTGGCAAAAATGTGCTGCCGACTGCTCACGCCGTGTCAAATCCTCTCTCGGAAAACCACGCGCGAACATCAGCCAGACACCGCGCCGCGCCATGTCGAGATTTTATGGTCTGCATATACTCAACTGCATAGTACGTAGTACGCTAGGTAGTTCAAGATTTGTTCGAGAGAATTGCTGATTTTATCGTAGATATCGTTGATAGAATTAATCGTTGTTGCGAGACGCGACACTTCCGCGATGTAAAATTTTATTTCTGCCTACAAAACGTCGATCGGGCCGACACTTAACGGCGGAAATATCATGTTGAACTTGGTTGAATCTTTTACTATTATATTAGAAATTGGAGATTTCACTTATATGGATTCTGGATTCAATGGAAAAAGGACATTCCTGAAATTCCGATCGATTTCTCGTGCTTTCGATAAGAGGTTGCTTTCGTTTGAGCGTGTTGAGCAACGGCATTTCGGCCGTCCGTTCTTACAAAATGTGAGAATTAATCCGCGGCGTGCAGGGCGTTAAATGAATTTCTCGCGATGACACTTCTCACTTCCGCGCGAGAGTGTGTCAAAAGTTAAATGTGATAAATGGATATTATGGCCGTGTCGGCACGAATCTGCGTCTTATTCAAGGATCCAACTATTCGCGACAGCGTACGATATCACAATGTATCATGGAAAAGATAGAAAGGTAGAAAGGTGATGTAATATGTGAATTAGAATGTGAGATTACCGAGTAAAATATTGGATTTTGCAACACATTTGAATCAACCATATCGGTTATCCCTTTATTCGAGTTCATCGTTCGAACGACACGGCGGTTCGGCATGGATTGTTATCTGCACGTTATTACGCTGAACGCTATCGAACATTTCTTCTCGTGTAACTTTGTGAACGGTTGTTGAGCACGAAGAAATGTGCGCGCGTGTGTACAAAAAATGAAATTGTAAAAACCAGAATGTTACGCGGAATAGTCATGAATTGCTGAGTTGTTATTAATACGAATAATCTTTACAAGACAACGATCAGATAAGTATTACGTGACGAAATGTAAGTAGCAAGGAATACGAAGTCGCTTCTAAATCTCTGCAACTCAAGATAAACTTTTTAATGTTCAATGTATTAAGTTGCTTTATCCAGTCTAAGCCACGAAAAGAGACTCTTTTGAAAATGATAAATTAAGTGATATATAAATTTGGTAAAATATACAATGTTATAATACAATCCGTGATATTTATTTTTCTATCATTCAAATGTGCTTCTTCAAAAGTGACATAATTAAAAAGATTAAAATTTTCAGAAAAAGAGGAAATTTATTGATTTTTTTTAGATTAATAAAATAATATTGACAAAAAGAATATATTCTTAATTCAAATATTATTTTTGTCATTTTCATAATTCTTAAAAAACCATCCTTTTTATTGTTGAATTGTGATAATTTTGATATCCTACAAAATTGCAACAAATCTGAAATAATTCATCAAACATCGATACAACTTAAAATGTGTCATCCTTATAGAAAGTATTATTTCGTGAAAAACGAATGCTATTTGATAAAAATTAATTTTCGTTTGATAATTGATAGAGTAATCTTTATCTAACTCATTTATAGAAACTAAGAAATCATATTTTTTTTAGTTGTGTCAATTTCGAAATAAAAGAACAAAATGTTTCTTTCGAAAAATCAACGAACTGAATACAAAGAACATCGCGTTTCATTCTCGGCATTTGAAAATCAATGATTTATCCGCTGTAACGCGCGGATTTATTGCTAAATACATTGCTTCATATCAGACAATATATCATTTAAGACGTTTAACAACGCGAATGTCGCACGATCATCGACTGACGAAACAAAAAGAGGGAGACCATTATTAGAGGAGATAAATATAACATTTAATAATCGTGTTACAAGGTTCTACGCTTCCAATACATTGACGCAACAATTCGCGGGCAATTCGGATCTCGGTGCCAAGGACAAGTGGCTTTTAGTGACGGCACTGATTTTGCGGTCTGCCTCCTTTCTTTTCCAAAACAGTATTCCACAAAGAAAGCCGTTTGCCGCTTATTGCGACAGACGTAATCTTCGCTTTCAGAAACTATATGCACGATGATGTAATTCACAACCGCAATTTACGTATGGTATAACCACTATTATATATCATACCTGTATAGCATCATGCATAATATGGGCGTGCATAATAAGAATTATCTCAGTCACGATAAAGTAAAATTGCATCCTTAATATCATTCACTGATCTATTGTTTTCTATATCAAGAATTGTTACAGTTATATAGTTGTTCTACAATAGTAGTTTGTAGAATATAAAAAATATAATATATATAACATCGTTGATAGATGTAAAAATTTTCCAATGTGTTTGCATCGCGATTTAGATTTATAAACTTTACTGTTATGCTTATCTTATATGCGTCAATTTAATTTCAATCTATAAATTGATGCATTCTCCGGTTTTTATTAATGAATCATTTAAACGTTCACGGAATTATCAAGCGACGTAACTCAGTGGCATGATAAAATCGTCGGTTCATCTTAAAGCCGATTATATCGCATAGCGGTATACCCTGGTCAACATAGATCGTCCGGTTTGCGTCCTATGATTTTTCTTCGGCGAGCAAACGGTTTCGTTTCATTGACACATTCCATAAGATTAATCGACTCACGTAACAGTTCGGGCGACATCCGCAAACTAGTACACAAGACACAGATCTACGAATTCCAAGAGAAACTGTTATGTCTCGTGATACAGCTAATTTATGACATATCTGTCTCCGTAGCTATTTCGCTATTGTCTCGATGGATTAGAAACAAATCTCGAACATCTGCGAACGTGAAATATTGTAAGAAATGACACGCACTTGGATGGCATCCAACGCAAATCAAAGAAGAAATTAAAGGGAAGAACGCAGACTCGAGAGTGAAAGTGATCGAGGAGATCGAGAGTGAAGAACAAAGTGACACGTAAATACACGCTGATTTTTCGCATAATCGATGTAATATTTGCAAAGAACATAATTCTGTGCAGCAAAATTAAAAACGTGGTCGCGGTGACACATTGAAAATGCGAGACTATCCCTCCTTTCGTGCATGAAAGCGCTTGATGTCGATGCTAACCGCGGAAGCTGGCCTCGACAGGCAATGTCGCCCAGTCTTACGACAGCCTTCTTGCCAGCACGAACGAGAAATTCTGCTGCTTGTTTCCTCCTTCATCACGACGATATATTAACGTTCTTCTGAGAATCGTTTCGTGCCGACTAAACTCAGACTCGCGCAAAACGCACAATGAACTTCTTCCACGTGAAAGTTTGCCATAACCGCGAGTTGAGTTATATACTCTTTGATGATTAAAATTAATTGCCTGCCAACTTAATACTCGCAAAGTGGTTGTAAAACAAGAGTGGTCTTCGCAAATTCTGAATGTTGTACCCATCGTCTCATCAGGTATATCTTGTAACGTATATTATCCGTTTCTTTATCGGTTACTTTCAACTTAATGCATTAGTGAACACAGAACGCACATTATTGAGCCTCTATCTTTCATATGTCTTTCTAGTTTTGTTATCTAACAGTATACAATTTACTGTGAAATAATATTAAAAAATAACAGATAAGATCTTAATTTACATAATTATTTTAGCTAATTGGTTATAATGACACGCTAATTATAACTCAAACACGTAATCAAATATTTGTCAAGACGAGAATGCGGTACAAGACACTTGCAAATGTTTTCTTTATTTTATCGTTTTGAGACAATATAAAAAGCAATTTCATTTCAAAGATTATAATTTCTTAATTTATTTGAATCTAATATTTCTCTATTTTATATTATACAGGTATTTATTATAATATATTTATTTGTATATTTATTATCATTCGTTTAAATTATTTATTACGAATTTTTATAATTAAATATTGATGTATACAGATCGCACATTGTAATTGATTTGTCAATTAAATAAATGTTGAATTATAAGAATGAATAAGATTCACGTATACTCAAATGCATTTACGCACACAATAACACGTGCAGTGTCTCTGATACCGGTACAAATATGGTGCGATCGTCTGGATGATGCATCGAAAACCATCAAGTTGCGCGAAAGTTGCATTTGTTGCACGTGCATACGATCGACGATTAGTTACGTCGTGCTGTGCACTACGCCAGGAATGTTAATCAGGAGTTAGCGCGGTGCGCTTTATTAACCGTGAATTAAAATTAGTCATAGTTTCGCGGTATGACGGCATACGTAAGCGTTCGGCAATGCGACAATATATGCACCAATGATTTGCAATTTACGAGCAGTTGGATATTTTAAGAATCTCATTTGCACACTCATCGATAGATAAAGAAAGTTTAAAATAAAACTCTGTATTTCAGTACGAGAAATTACGTTGTTAAGGTAACTTGCTCGATTTAAATATTTCTGCTTAAACTAGATAACAAGTACGTGCAAAAGTTTTATCAGTAGGCTTGTTTTAAAATGTAGAAATCCTTGAGACCATACAAATCTATATAAACTAAATAATCTGTATTTTCGAATTGAGCGACAAAAAATTTCGGAGATCTTATGTTATACAAAATAAAATAAAAAGTTAAAAGTAAAAAATTCAGAGTAAAATAAAATATTTGGAATAAAATCGAAGTAAACTCGAAGAAAGAGAGTTAAGGTTAATGTGAGAGACAAGTTTTTTTCCCTTAAAACTCAGAATAGTAAAAATAAAGTAAAAAACAAATCTATGAATTCCCTTTAGAATATATTGAACTCTGACAAATGTGGAAGATCGCAAAATGGTACGTTTGCGATTCGTCAGTCGAAAAGCATGAAAAATCGAAGAGATGATGTCATTTTTTTAAACGATACTACGATAATACGACTGCGATGTATAATGTGTTGATATATGCGCGATGAATCATTCAAGTGGTTTGCTGGTTCGCTATTTAATGGTGCAAATATTTTTACGGATGCATTTCCTTTTCGAAAGAATTCTTAAAAGCATAACATAATAGTACATATTATATTAAAGAAGAACACTGAAATAAACTTTACAAAATGTATAGAAGAATTCTCAATGAGTTGACTTTTTGTCATAAATATATAATAGCAAAAAGTCCGTTTAAAGAATAAAATATTTTCGAATATTTTACGAGAATCCACGTTATTTATGATATTTGATTAAGCAAAACGAAGGTAATATCATTCAAATTCCATTAACGTAAATTCTGTTTCACCTTGAATTTGTTAGCTTATCAGAAAATAAAACAGACATTCCATACAAACGATAACTTGTTAAAACGTAATGGAAAACAGCAATCACATACATTATATTATCTTTCATTCCATCGCATTTAGCAAGAAATTACACAACAAAATCATATTTATATTCTACTTTAACAAACCTTTATCATACAAATTAAATATTTACAAATTCTATATAATTTATCAATAAACATTAATATATTTTAGTTACTATTTTATATTATAGTCGAAAAACTTAAACTTTCATATCAATATTAAGGATTCGGAAATGTTGCAGATACGGTAAATGGTAAGATGGAGAACTGTGGAGGCGGCCAACGCCTGCCCCCGGACGGGGACGAATTTCCAGCAGCGTACCAAGAATTCAACAACAGTAGCAACCAGCCACCATACAGATATATCGCTACGACAAGAACAGCGACGATAACTACGAATGATGCAGGATTGTGTAATGAAAACGAGTCGTTTCGTACTAATGAGACTGTTAAAATGCTCACGAACGACAGCAACGTTGTCAGTTCGAGAAGCATTATTCTATCGGATAGTAAGATAACGTTCCCAGGCACTGAAAACGTGAGGCAGGATATAAACAAAGTTGCTTTGGCAAGTATGGAGAGTGTCCGGTCTGAGGTGAGCAAAGCTACGTCGTCCAACGTAGATAATATATGTCAAGATGTGAAGTCCACCGAGATTACTAACGAAGAAAAAAAATCATCTTATCACACTTCGGAAGATATCGCGAAGAAAAACACTTCCATCGTCGCGGGAAGTTCTCTTTATTCTTGTCAGACGACTACCAGCAATTTAATTATGAGTGAGAAGAAGATGGAGATCGCTGGATATTATCACAAGGCCGTGACGACGCTCGAAGAAGTGCCAAGCCACGTGGAAAAGGACGCGCCTATTGATACCCCACCGCCTCTTCCATTGACAGGTACTCATTACTTATCTAGCTTCGAATGAAATTCCTCATCTTTTTTTTTCTCTGAAAGAGAAGCAACACTGACATATCAAAAATATATTATTAAATTATTAAATTCAATATTTTCGGAAAGATTGATTCCTTTAAAATTATTTCAAGCATATCGCATTTTTACATATTACCTCCTTTTTTTATACTTTTATACATTTTGCAAAAGTACGTTATATTATTCACAGGCCCGCCAAAAATAGAGCAAGTGTTGCATACAAGAATTACTCCTACGATAGAATCTCCGCAAAGAAAGTTTTCCTTGAACGGTGATCTCTGGAGACAAGATGACAAGTCTGAGCGATCTGTTCGAGATAAAATCGCAATGTTTTCATCGCAAAGCAATCTTGATGCGCCTCTATTTCCCAATGCCATAACAGCGGCAGCAGCCACGAGCAACAGCAAACGCCTCTCCAAGTACAAGTCCTCCGAAGACGTTTGCTACGATGACAAGAGCAACGGACAGAAAGATCGACCGTCTTTCTTCGCCGACAGAACACAGAGTTCTTTCGATCTCACCGATTCAGCCAAGACTATGACTGGGCATGACGCGAAGAAATATAATCAAAGAACGCTTAGTTTGCCTCAGACTGTTCAACCTGCTCTGTTGAGTCCAACTGCGCAAACTACGCGAACTCCAAAGACGCTACCAATTGTTCCACCGAAATCATTATCTAATCCACTGTCAACATTGTACGATAAGCAGAATTTCTTAAATACGACGACAAAAAATTATTGTGCAAATATCGCGGAAAGCAGCAATTTGCAGAATGCCATGTATTCGAACATCGGTAAAACTGTACATTCTTGTAACAATTCTAGCAACACGATCAAGCCAACGACACCAAACACAACTTCATTAACGCGAGCTACCAGTTTTTCCGGCCCGGCACCCTTTATGCAAGATAGAGATTCTTTGACAACCGATTCAATCAGCAACTCACAAATTTCAAGAACGAATTCCTTAGCGTCCACATTTAGACGACCCGGCGAAGATGTAAGGAGAAACAGCTTGAATCAGCTGATCGAGCAGAGACGAAGATCAATATCGAAATTACGTGGTCTAGTTATACCAGAAAAAGACACTGTATCAATCGATCAACCTATCGTCGATTTACCAGAAATCAAATCACGAGATTCAATATTATTACATCAGGTAAGATTTGAAACATGTATAATGCAATTCAACATGGGATGTTTAATTCGAATTTTACAAAATATTAATTTTTATATTTTATAATATAATATTTTTGTAATATTTTAAAAAATTTATCAGCTATTGCTTTGAAAAATCCATTTTTATGAATAATATTTAACGTTTCTCCATTTTATGTGCAAAAAAATATTTAAAATAATACATTGTTCACACAATGTACGTTTTTTCAGATACCAAAGGCAAATATTCAAGACAAGTGGGGGTCTCAAAGTTCCTTAGCCAGCAACGCCAGCACAGCGAGCCAGCCATTGAAAGCGACAACGTCCTTCAAAATGCCGGCGCCTCAGATATACTCCAAGTACTCCCCGGCTTTCAAAAGAAAGTCTCTCACGGTTTATGGTACTTCAGTAACGACAAATTCCACGATAAACGGCAGCAGCCCGATCAAAAGTTCTCAATCAACAGCAATGTCCACATTTTCGGAGCCACCGAAAAGCCTGGAGAGTATTTGCAGTCCTACAAGAAGCGATTACAGCTTCGAGTTTGCCTCGACGACGAGCTCACCGGATGGCTCGCGTACTAGGCCGAGGATAATGCAAAGGAAAGCTCGCTTAGATTACGATGATTCCGACAATGATTCGGCCGTAAGCAGCTCTCAGAGCAGCATATCTCGCGGCTTCAGTCCGCCGATGTCTCCGGTACCGTCGGAAAGATCTACCATTTCATCAGAGAGATCTTATGTCTCCGCGGAATTAAATTGTCAACGTCGGCCTTTGATCGCAGATAATTTGAGCAGAATTTCAGTCGCACGAGATATCAGAGATCAAATTGCTGCATCCGATAAAGATCAATTCACCTCCAGGATAGGTGTTCTTGGTGAACGAACATATCTAGCCGAAAGATCATCTTCCAGCAGCAGCGGGTCAAATCCGCGCTCACCACAGCCGAACGAGTTTGTTTCGAGAAGTTCGCAAATTCCTCAGAGACAATTGAGGCGATCGAACAGCACCGATACAAATTGCAGCACATCCTCGACGCTCACATCCGGATCTCAAGCCAGTGCCGAGTCTCTATCCCGGAGAGTACTGAAGCCGCAAAGCGTGGAGGCGATAAATCGAAAAAATATCCTGGCGAGCGCCAGATGCCGAAGCGGTAGGGATTTGAACGGATCGCCGCTAATCCAGCGAAAGTTTTCAGACGACGAAGATGCTGTAAAAGAAACCATCCAGAACGGTGGTGCTATTCATCAGATAAGCAATAACTCGGGGAGCGATCCCGCGAGCAAACAAGAGATCAAGATTGCGTATATAGAAGTCGCGGATCCCTTCGCGGAGGACGAAGAATCGTTACAGAAGGACGAGGAGAAACCTAAATTGCCACCTAAAATGAGTTTCCCGCCGCCAGCTGTTAGACCACCCAAATCTGAAATGTTGGAGCCATCAAACGATCTTAAAATGTGGGTTCGAGCGGAAGTAAAGACTTTGGCGCGATCAATGGAAGAAAAATCGAGATATGACAAAAATCCAATCCTCGCTGCTCAAAATTTGGAAACAAGAAATAGTCGTGGCTCCATATTTAACCAACCCGCTATTACTACGTCCAACAACGATTTGTCTTCAAAGAATAGAACTACGGTAAGCGATATGAAGGTCACCGCGATGGAAATGTCGAAACCACAAAGTAAAGCGAATTCAACTCCTAGAAAAAATATGGAAGACCAAAACGATCTTTTGACGATCTTAACGACAAAAAGTCGCTCCAGATCAGCTATACACGTCGACGAAGGAACGTTTGGTAGATCGAAGAGTCAGATGAGTCTAGAAGATATACTTGGCGCTAAGTCAGATTTGAAATTATCCCGTGCGCAAAATACAGAACCAAAAATTGAAAAGAATGGTATGATACCAAGCTCGCCGGTAAAATCTGCTTGGGAAATTTCGAAAGAAAGTCGATACGGGAGAAGAGGCTCTATTACTTCGAACGAATCCTTGTCGGAGGATAGACCCTTTGTATCGAAAATACCCACCTTAGGAAGAACCAAAACTGTCGACAGCGGCGACGAAATGACAGAAAGTGTCGAAAGAATAAAAAGTGTGACAGCGTCGAAGATTCCGACGTCTCGTGGCTTAAATCGACGCAGCGCCAGTGTTACGGATATGAAGAAAGCCTTGGAGAAGGTTGATACCAATCCTATGCATAATCAATCACAACAGAACACCAGCAACACTCACAATCGATTTCCAAGTCTAGACAGCAGCGTAGACGAGAATATCGGGACGGAAATAGACACCGATAGATGCTATGGCGAGCAATTTGGCAGTATCAGTTCACTCGCCAGCAGTACCAGTCTAATCTCGCAACAAGAACTGGCGCAGCTCGTCGAGGAGGCGAGTTTGGAAGAGGCACGTGGAGCGCACGATGTTATAGTCGTTTTGCTTCACAAGGAGAACCCGACCGGCAGCGTTGGCATTACTTTGGCTGGTGGCGCGGATTGCGAAGTGAAGGAGATCACGGTTCATAGAGTACTAACGCACTCTATCGCGGATAAAGACGGCCGGGTGCAGAGGGGTGATAGGATCCTCAGCATAAACGGTCGGAGCACGCGAGGTCTCACACACCGGGAGAGCATGGCGGTACTGAAGCAGCCGAGATCGGAGGTCGTATTGGTCGTGTCGAGGGTCAGGATGGAGGAAGGCTGTAAGCTGAGGTCGCGAACTGCGAGTGTCGAAACCATCGTCGAAGGTAAAAAATACATGCATTTCTTGCGTGAGAACTCTCACGATTTATTTTAATGATAACGGAATCGATGTAAATAAAAGAACTCGGATCGTATAGGGTTAGAGACGAATGGAAACGTGGAAGACACAGCATGGGGACCACCGTCGACCGTGGCAGTTTACAAGGGCGGAGCTGGTCTCGGATTTAGTCTGGAAGGCGGCAGAGATAGTCCCCTCGGAGATAGACCTTTAATTATCAAGAAGATATTCACCGGTAAATCTTCGTATATAATATATTTGCACTCGAACATCTTGTTAAAGGATAATGTTAATCGTAATGATAATGATTGTTATATTGAAATAATAAGATAATAGATAATAAAAATTATATTATATGTTATCTGAACTTTATCTTTACGACAGGAGGTGCTGCCGAGAAAACAGGTGCCTTAAAAGCCGGGGACCAACTGCTTGAAGTAAACGGTAACGATGATCTCCTAGTCAGGCATCCTGCCACTAAATCCTCGTGAAAAAAACGAAATCCCGATTGTATGATGCAAATGAAACGTAGTAATGTGCCAAGCAAGCGTCTGGATTATTTTTCGATCGATATTTGTTACGTAGGTATAATGGTTAATAAGGTATGTTATTAATTTGTTTTGTTCAAGAGATTTTAGATACGAACCGATGTTATATGCGCGAGAGGCTTTTTCTATCGTGCTAAATATCGTGATAAATTTAAATAATGTCGCTGTTTAGTCAGATAATCAAAAATCTAAATTCATCGATTTATAAAAAGAGATGATCTATTGATATTATTTTTAAGAGTCTAAATTAATCGATAACTATCATATACATTCACAGCTCTAATTGCATTGTCATTTATTATAAATTCAATAGCTAACGTGCTAACAAAAAGTTAAGACAAAATAGCTGTGTGATTTGCTAATTTATTTTCCGATCAAACGCTTTGTAAATGAAACGTGCATCTTATGCATAAAAATAGTTCTAAAATAGTATTTTCTACAGAATATGTGCAAATTAACGATACAAAACAGTGTCAATCTTAATAGTTTCATCGCAATAAAATCAGTACGCAAAAAGAGATTTAAAATTGCAAGTTTCCAATCTGAATCGACAATACAAAATGCAATATCATATCCAATATGCAATGATTAGACGTGGAATAATATTTTTATTTAGTAAATTTCATCAAAAAGCAGCGATATAGCATCTTAATATAGTGTATGTTTTGACAACGAAATATATATGAAATTTCAATATATGCCATACGCAAGCGAACCGTAATGTTACTGAAATGAAGTAGGTAGGCATGTCAATTAATCATTTAATTAAGCGATACGTTGTTAACACGAATCGCTCGTACATTATAATTCCATAGTGCCGGCCGTGCAGTAATAGTTCGAATTAAGAATTTGCAACAAGCAAAATAGCTGAGTAGATAGTTATAACATGAGCCTGATTGTAGATTGCCTATTTCTAATCGATTTTAGCCCTGTCGCCTTATTATAGTGGTTCCTGTTATATTAGAATACGAATAATAGAATATTTTCATACGATACGGTGATCAAAATGATGCGCCGTTATAGCAATAAGAGAGAAAATGACGCGAAAGATCAGTTTTCTATGGGTGACTTCGATTAAATGTTAATTAATTTAATTGGCGATTAACTCAACTGACGGAATTGCTCGTGCAACATTTCTAACAATATCTATAAATCGTTATCCCTAATCGAATTTTTCTTTTCAAATATATTAAATAACAAAAAATCAACTATTTTATTATACATGTTATTAACAAGATAGTACAGTTATTGCTTGATAAGTTAATCGCTGATTATATCAATCAATTAGTCGAAGTCGCTCATAATACAATAAAACCACGGAACAGGTTTATGCTAAAGTAATCCTCAAATAAAAGTTTAGACGTCATCTGCTATCTATAGTTCACTCTTTACAAAAATGGTAGAATCAATTTAGTACTTATGTTTATTAATTCATTTATTTAAATTCATTTAAAAATGCTTTTAATTCAATAATCCATATATATTATCATTATAAGTAAATTTGCAAAATAATAAAATATAAATTCCCTTGTGATAAACATAGATAAATTGTTTAAACAGTCAAATATCGTTTAAGCTCTTATTTGAGAATTTTTTTTTTATTAAATTATAAAATTCTTTTAAAAAAATGCCATTTTGACGCCATCTCGTGGCTATCCGTAAGTAGTAATAAACTTTAAATTTGCTCGCAGCGTGAAGAAAGCGCCAATCGCTACTGAAATCTACAATCGCTCCAATTGAATCTTGAACAGTTCTTCAGTAGCTTCCGTTGCAAAAGCATTCATGCCGGTTATGATCATCTCGATGAAGCTAATGCGCCAACAGCAGTATATATAATGTGCTTAATCACGCGAAGATACCGCATCGCCGCGCGCGTACATGAATAGAATGCCGTTCCGTTCGCGATAACGCGTATGTCGAGATATTATCATCGAAAAATTATCTCTGGCACGAGGCACGACGTTTTGCGCGATTAGTCGTTTCGCAAGTAGTAAGGATATAACGGGACGAAATGTAATTATTTCAGACGCGAGATCTTGGGATCTGAGACGAGGGAAAGGAAGATGGCGGACGGTCGCGCTAAAGACGCGCTCCCCGTTGCCTCGCGCTTCATTTCCTGATCATCATTCTCCCCACACCTGTTATATCTTTATTAAGAATGTAGCGGGATAAAATACGACTCACCGATCTCGGTATAGAGCACCCGGAAGTCGAAGAAAACCTGCGGGAGAACTGACAATGGAAAAACGGCTCTTCTCGTAAAAACGCGCGGTTATCCGTGACGGTGACTTTTTTCGAACTGAATACCGCAGCTATCGACGCGCAATCGCGACATCGCGTCTGACGTGAAGTGCGCCGCGAAGACGGATTCTTCGATTAATTTAAATTGATTTTCGCAAATCTATTCTCCAGACAGCACCATGTCCAAAATTGGAATGCAAGACGTCTTCAAGATGTCATTAAAACATTTTTTAAATATCATATCTTGTCGCAATCATTATAAAGACATCTTTAAGATATCATAAGCTTAAAAATGTTTTTATAATGGCTGCATTCAGCAAAAGCAAGTTTAGCTTTGCAGTTGTTGTAAAATTCTTTAATATGATTTATATATTTAGAGCCAATAATGAACTAAAGACAGGACTATTAATTATATTAAAGAACTTTACAACAGTTACAAAACAATTTTCTTTGTTGAACACAACCAATATCTATTCTGCAATAGGCATAAGCTATAAAAATTGGTCAATCGTAATCGATTATTTTCTCCGCATTCGGTTACAGTCAATTTTTTTTTGTTTATGATAAAGTGGCATAAAGCGGCGTCTACGATGAGATTTTAAGGCGTAAAATTTAAACTTTAAGTTTTAAGCTGTAAGAAATGGACTAATCACAGCAATTATTCACATTCAACTGTGATTGGTCAATTTCTTATGGCTTAAGGCTTAAAGCTTAAATTTTAAGCTTTTAATCTCATTGTAGACGCAGCTTAGGACAATCTTACGACTCATTTTGCACATGTTTTGCTATCTGGACTATTTGACTTGAATTTTTAATTGAATGTTCGAGATTTCATTGCTTCTCACACATTTCAATTTTTGAAAAATAAAATCCTTTTGAAAAAAAATCTTCCCGCTTTCTTGCGTCTATAAACGTTTATTTGCGTTTTTAACGTTATTGAAATGAAAACTGATCGATCGTTAGCTCAATTTCCATTGCAATCAGAATTATAAATGCGTCGAGTTAAGGGAAGTGTCATACATAACGGAATATTAATATAAAGGAATATATCGGAATATATATTTAAATATAATACGAAAGCATTTCGGAATATGCATTTATTAAAATTTTGTGCTGTGATATGTGTGAATGACACGATTTAGCATAAAACAAGCAACTTGATTGAAATACTAATCAATATTACGTATTTTAATTCAATGTAAATTCGTTATATATATATAAAGCACTGAATTGTTCGTTTTTTTATTATTTAATGTTATAAATGCTCTTTTTATTGTGTATTTCCTATGCAAAGTGTTGCAAACAGGGACTCCTTATAATGTCTTTTGTCAAAGATATAGAAATAAAAAAAAAGTTAAAATTATTAAATTAATGAATAGATAAATTGGAAAATGCAATATTGGAAAATGCAATTTTCGCGCATTTTTTCATTCAAAAAGATTGTAAGGTTTCTTGAGTTGTATTAGAAAACTATGTTTCCTTTTTGTCTGTTTAATATATTTATTAAATATTATAGCTGTACATTGAAAATAACAGCGAAGTGTATATAAGAATGATTAATACCAATAAAATTTCTTTGGAACACGATCTTCTTTAATACCCATTTTTTCCATGATATCCATCTCAAAAGTTTTTAATGCTGGCTGTAAATAGAAAACATGCATTTAATTTTCTACGCAAAATTTGTCTTAATTTTGTTATAAACTAACTTTTGTTATAAACTAACTCTTCATTCATTTTATATTATATATGTATAATTAATTAATATCTAAGATCTATAAATAAAAATAAACAAATTCGATTTTACATACTTCGAAAGTTATTTTTTCCACATCAGCTTTAGTTGTATCTTTTACTTGCTCTCGATAAAGCTTAGGAATTTTGTAATCTATCGTTTCTTTGCTTGAAACAGGAATAGGAATTATTCTACCAGATCTCACAGATACGCGTACACGCTGACCATTTTCTGTGAATCGCCATTCTATCGGAGTTGCTTGCCTGCAATGATTTGTAAATTAGTAGTATATAACCATTGACACTATACATTTATCTTCATAAAATAAATTTTTTATAATATAATAGATACTTACATATCTGAAGGATCAACCAATTGTACTTGTGAAGTTACTAATAATGGTTGTTCTTGCTGCATATATACAGAATATTTTTTATTTATCTTATTACATTCCAGTTTCGTATTAAGTCCTTCGACAATTATCCAATTTCTTTCTTGATAAATATCTTTTACAATCCCTTGCTTTCCTTTATCTTTCCCACCTAAACCCTCTACTAA